ATATTCCCAGTAGTGGAATTGCTGGGTCAAATGGTATCTCTGCAGCTTTTTGAGAAAGCGCCATACCGCCTTCCACACTGGTTGCAGCGTCACTGAATTTTTTGACACTTTAGGTTTTTAGTGTTGTTTTAATATCATAAATTAGTCTATGATGAGAAGAATGAAAAGTCTTAATACATGCTTTTGTTTTCTAAGAATTCCTGAGAAATACAACTTAGAGGTCAAAGCAAACATCTGAATGTAAATTATATTTATTAAAGCTTTAGCTGCATTTAGCTTGTAAAGTGATGTTTTTGTTCATGATTTGGTCTTGCCTTTTTAAAAAATTCATTTTAATGAAAGTTTACAGAGACTTAGGGTTTCCAGTCATTCATTGTTGCACTTTTCTCCCTGCCTACCCCCTCCCCCCCCAATTCACTTTTCTCCTTGATGAGTAAAAGAAAAACTCTTTCATTGCTATGCAGTCCCTCCCCCCAGGTCCACTGCACTGTGCAGCCTTCATTCTGCACTCCTGACATGACAATAATATCTAATCATACATCCCTTTTAACTAGAAAAATACCGTCTCCCCTCACTGCAGTTGAATTGATTCCAACTTAAACTAAAAGTGAGTAGAGTTGCCCCAATTAGTCTGTATATCTTAATGGGAGCAGATTGCTACATCACCAAGATGTCCAACACTTAGCTAACAAGGTTACCAAGGATCCTAACTTTTTTTCCTAAGTATAGGTTGGTTTTTTCTTTTATTTTATAGTTGTTTATTTACAAAGTTCGTCTACATTGTTTTTCACACGGGATCTTTCACATTTCCTTCACTCCCCACCAATAAATTGTGTGACCTTATGATTAACGCCCTCCTGTCCCCATTCTCAGCCCTCTGCTCCCTCCTTCCCTGCCTTGGATCCTGATACTCATTCTACAATAATGGTCTTATGCAGTATTTGTCCTTTTGGGGACTGAGTTCACTTAGCAAAATGCTCTTGAGTCTCTCCCAAGTTAGGCAGTAATTTATAAAATAATTGCTCCTATTATGCTAATTGAAGTAACTAGTAAGGACAAATACTGTATAAAATCATTATTGTAGAATGAATA